ATGACAAATATGCATTAATAAAAAAAGTTTAAAATATTGAAACATATGAAAAAAAACCAATTATGCTCACAGATATAAAGCCTTAATGTTGAAAAGTCAGTTCTTCTTTTTTTTTTTTGGGCGAGGGGGACAGGGTCTCACTATGCGGTTCAGGCGGGCCTTGAACTCACTTTGTAGTCCAGGTTAGCCTTGAATTTGCAGTGATTCTCCTGCCTTAGCCTCCCAAGTGCCAGATTACAGATTGTGTCACCACACCATGCTCCCATTAATTTAAAATTCAGTACAATTTCAAAACAAAAACAAAAACAAAAACTCCCATCTGAAGTTTTATGTTACTGGGGATTGAGCTCAGGGCCTTCACACTGCACTACAAACCGAATACTTTCTTGAGACAAGGTCTCTAAATTGCTAAACTGCCCAGGCTGGACTACAATTTGTAATCCCCCTGCATTAGCCCTGCCCATTTCTGGATGGCCTGCTCTATTCCTTTGATCTGTTTGCCTGTCTGCCCTGTCTTAAATCTGAATACACATAACCTCATTCTTTTTCTTCAATCTTCCCCCTCCCTCTCCTCCTTCTTTTTTTGTAGATAGGGTCTCACTATGTAGTTCAGACTGGCTTTGAACTCATTATGTAGCCCAGGCTGGCCTTGAACTCACAGAAATCTTCCTGCCTCGGCCTCCCTAGTGCTAGGGTTACAGGTGCCCAGCACTAATCCCAGCTCCCATCAAATTTAGTGGAAAATCTTGATAAGTAAATCCTGCCATTCACAGGAAAAAGCCAAAGGAAGAATATTGAAGGCAATTTTGGAGGGAAAAGCCAGGGATGGTGGCAAACTCAGGAAGCTGAGGCCGAGGATCATTGTGAGTTCAAGGCCAGCCTGCGCTACTTAGTGAGACCCTGCACAAAATACCAGGAAAAAAAAGAAAAGAAAAACTTTAGAAAATATATACCTTGCATGCACCTGTAATCCCAGCACTGGGGAGGCTGAAAACAGGAGGATCACTACGAGTTCAAGCTGCGTAGTGAGACCCTGCACAAAACACCAGAAAAAGAAAATATGTACCTTGCTCAGTGCTCATGTTCTCCCTTTAGAGCCAGTAGTTATCATGATTTTTTAAGTATTCATTTAACGCATTTTTTTTTTACTTTTTTTTTACTTATTTAACTATTTGTGTGTGTGTGTGTGTGTGTGTGGCCAGCTCAGCCCACCAGGGGGCGGCGCTGGCTGGCATGTGGTGCTGGGGGATTGAACCGCAGTCCCTGTGCTTTGCTAAGCTTGTTCTAAGTAGGTGCTTTAGACCACTGAGCCATCTCACCAGCCCTGTTTGTGCTTTCTTAAAAAATGTTAGGGAAGGATTTGTACTCCCTCAGCTCCTCAGGAAACCCCAAGCCAACTAGGCAGTTGAAAATCCAAATCTTCTGCTCAGAGGCCAGGGATATAGCTTAGTGGCGTAAGTGCCTATCAGACAAGTGCAAGGTCCCAAGCTCAGTCCTCGGTACCACAAAATAAGTAAGTAAGCAAGTAAGTAGATAAGTAAACAAATAAATAAATAGATATAAAATCTTCTCAAAGAAAGAAAAAAAAATCCAGGTGTGGTGGAGCAAGCCTGCAATTTGAGCGCCCTAAGCTACAGCAGGAGGATTTCCATGAGTCACCCTGGTCAGCCTGGACTACAGATACCCTGTCTCAAAAAACAAAACAAACAAACGAACAAACCCTACTGAAAACAAGAAACACACATGTCACCATGGAGATCAGGATCAAGAACACAGAGAGGACTCCTGCACATAAACAAGACAGGGAAAACAGCTGAAAGTATAAACTGGTGAAAAAGAAGTTACAACTCATGTGAGCCCAACGTGAGGATTTGCGGGAGGCATTTCACAGCACACAACACAAATGGTCAGCAAACATGTGAGAAGATGTTTAAATTCACTAGGAAGATGCAAAGAAAAAGCAGGGCAGTGCACGTCTGTAGTCTCAGGATCCTGGGACTGTGAGACAGGAAAATCGAAAGTTCAAGCCCAGCCTGGGCGACTTAGGAAGACCCTGTCTCAATAAAAAAAAAAAAAAAAAAGGCTGGAGATGTAGCTCAGTGTGAAGATCCTAGGTTTGATCCTCAGTAGTAGTAGTAGGAGGTCAATGGAGGAAACACAGCAGAGCCAGGAGCAAAGGCGCCTCTGGGCTGCCCCAAGTGGACAGAGCTGCTGGGTGACTGGGCTCAGAGGACCCTGCCAACCAGCTGGTCTCCTCCAAACACTACTAGGTGAGCCCCAGGAACAGACACCGTATCACTCTACAGCACTTCTAGAATAATGGAAAGGACTGAAATGCTAACACACGAAAACATTTATACGTGGGGACTTTGGAGTACTTAAAATGAGGAAACTGGAGCAGCGTGTGGAGCTCAAAAATATAATGGGATGTGGAAGTGGTGCAGAATAACTGGTAGGACAGGAATGTACTGCGTTAGGTAACCAGTGTGGCAACTGAGTAAGAAAGGCCCTACTGAGGCAGATTGGCGTAGCTCTAGGCGTGGCTGAGGGAATGAACTGAAGGCTTGCTGGGGTATGGTGGCGGTCACCCGAGAGCTGGCCACCTGAATGCTATGAAAGGGAAACGAAGAGAAGCTTGCTTGCTTCTGTTCCTTGGGGTGGGGACTGGCCTTCACCTTCATGTTCGACATTAAATCTCTCTCTCTCTGGTAAGCACTGAGTAACGCAGCCCTGCATGTGACCGCGGGGACTGTCCCCTTGGGGTGTCTGTCCTGGGTTCTCACACAGGCTCACATCCTAGCAGGCTGCTGCAGGGCAGCCTGCAGTGGGGAGCATGTTACCTCATGGGGTGGACTGGGGACTGAACACAGAGCCTTGGCACTGAGCTACATCCCCAGCCCTTTTTTTTTTTTTTTTTTGATATGGGTCTAAGTTGCTAAATTACCCAAGTTGGGCTTGAACTTGTGCTCTTCCTGCCTCAGCCTTCCAGAATACTGGAATTACACATTTGTACCAGCAGGCTGGGCTCTGACATCTTTTCTTTTTTTCAGAGACGGTCTTGTTGCTATGCAGTACAAATTGGCCTGGAACTCGGTATGTAGCCAGGTTGGTCGCAAACTTGTGAGTACTTCTGCTTCACCCTCCCTAGCACTGCAACACCACACCTGGCTTTGACAATCATTTTTCTTTTTTTGTTTTATGTGTTTGGTACAGGGCCTTACTACATAGCTCAGACTCATAGTGATTGTCTATTTTCAGCCTCCCCAGTGCTGGGATTACACGTATGTACCACCATGCCTGGTCTTGGTGGCTGGCTCAGCAAGCTCTAGGGTAGGGCCAGAGTAGCATGTGGTGCCAGGGATTGAACCCAGGTCCCTGCACTTGCCTAAGCAGGAGCTTAGTTCGCTGAGCCATCTTGTTGACCTGACACCCATTTATTCTTGGCAGTGCTGGGACAGAACCCAGGACTTTGTTTCGACACAGTAGGCAAGAGCTGGGCCACTGAGTGACATCCTGTGGTGGGCCTGATGCGTTCTGAGGGACACAGAGAAGCACAGGATAAACACATGGCAAGTTGTGGGCGAGGGTAAGGCAGGCATCTGGGGCCCTGTCCTTCCCTGAGCAGATGCTTCTAAGCTGAGACCACCAGGAGCCATGGTACCAGCCCTGCCCCGGCTGCTGGGACTCGAGGGCTCTGCCTGAGAAAGAGGTGAGTGGGACCTCGACTCCCCAGGCCCCGGGGCCAAGCGCACTTCCAGCTTCCCGGCATCCGCACAGGAAACTGGGCTCTGTGGGCTCTCAGCTCTCAACCTTCCATGGGGAGGCTGCGGCCCCACCCCGCCTTACCAGAGCATTTTCGGGAACACCCACCACCACGTCGTGCAACATGGCTCCGCTGCCAAAGTGCTGGGCGATGGAGAGGCCGCTCAGGCAGTAGCAGGTGTGGTAGAAGTCACGCGACCTGAAGGACAGGAAGCTCTGGGCTGTGCCCCTCTGCTCCCTACCCGCCCCAAATGTGACCCCATGGACCTCGACCCCACCCTGTCCTCCAGCTGGCCGGGGGAGGTGCGGCCTTTGCTGAGAGTGTGTCACAAAGCCCTATCCTCTAGCCCCGTCCCACGTGGGGACTTCATTTCATCTTTTTTTGTTGATGGTGGTGGGGCCAGGGATCAAATCCAGAGCCTTGTGTACATGTGAAGCAAGCGCTCTGCCACCGAGTTGTGCCCCAGCTGTGGGCACAGGAGCTTGAGAGCTGGTGTTGCTCAGCAGTCTCTGTCTCGGGGCAGTGCTAGTGCTGAATTAATGCAGTTGCCAGTGTTATTCCCTTGATGCTTATAGCAGCGGGGTGTGTGTGTGGGGGGGGTGTGTGTGTGGGTGGGTGTGGGGGGGTGTGTGTTACCAGGGTCTGAGCCCGGAGCTTTGTGTGTAGCGGCAAGTGCTCTCCCACTGAGCTCCACGCCAGCTCACACTATTCTAATGAAGTCCGTTTAGCTTGGTGAGCCGGGGCTGCAGCTCAGAGGCACAAGAGTGTGCCTGGAAAGCACAATGTCCTGCGCTTGCTTCCCAGTAAAACGGGCAAGGAAGAGATACACCAGCCCAGCAGTCCACTCACTGTCTGGGCAAGAGGGAAGAGGAGGCAAGCAGCCGGAGCTGCTGGGTCCCTGGGACTCAGGGCACTCCAGGTGCTTCCCAAAGTGCTGCACTAGCCCCCAGCGGCCAGGGGCGGGACGGCCTGGCCCCGGTGCCCAGCCCTCCCTTGGCTCCCAGGCACAGCACTCACTTGCCAGGCTTGTCCAGAAGGCCCCCGGTGGGGCACTGGCAGCACATGAGCAGATACTCCTGCAGGGCCTGCTGGTGGAACATCCAGCGGCTCATGCCGAGGGCAGGGTCGCCTGTGGAGGGCAAAGGGTCAGCCAAGGAGCAGAGATGGTTTGCATTTTACAGCATAGGGGGAAGAGGCCAGGCCTCTCTTCTTCCACTTGTTCTTGGTACTCACTCTCCTCACAACCTGCCCCTTCTCCCAAACCTGGTGAGGTAGCTCTTCAAGCACAGACACTACCACTGACTCTACTCCCAGCTGCAAACACATCTTGAAAATTCAGCGAGTGGGCTGGGGATGTGGCCTAGCACAGGAAGCCCTGAGTTTGATCCCCAGAGCCATCCAAAAAAGGTGCCTTTTGTGACTTGATTGCTCACAGCACAGAGAAAGGCTTGACACGCACAGCCCTGGACCCTGGCTGTCCTCTGACACAGCAGATGACTACCAGGAACTCCAATTAGGGACGACCTTCCATGTGTTAGGAACAATGTTCGAGTAGAGCAATGGGCAGTTACTAATAGCTGAAAGTTGCCCACCGATAACTGGTGGGGACCAGCCTATGCGCACAGGCGTGCTCCAGGCCTGGTCCTTCACGTCTTCCAGCGTACGTGGGAGCATTTCCCTCACCAGCCTGACGGATGGGGCCGCTGCAGCTACGATTTGGAGGGATCATGATTTATGGAGCTGTTAACCTTCTGGTGGGCCTTCTAGGTTTGCTATTCGAACTCTAACTCAATACATGTCCTTTGCTAAGATCTCTGCAGGTCAGTTCCAAATGTGGACTTGCTGGGCTCAAAGAGCTAAGTGCCCTTAAAATTCAGACTCCAAAATTAAAAAAAAAAAAAAAAATCAGTCTCTGAACTGCCCTCCAAAAGCTTCACATATCAAGTTTTAAGTCTATGCTGAATAGGTAATAAGGACTAGTATCACACTCCTCTACTGGCATTTCTTTAACTATAAATAAACCAAACAACCTGCAGCGGGGTGCTGGGGCCAGCTGGCCTGGCCCCACACAGCCACCTGCTAACTGCCGTTGGTAGCAGTCGGGTAGTACGAAGCCAGTCCAGTCACTTCACCTCATGTACTCTGCCTTCAGGTCTGCAAAATGGGACAATCAGAATATCTATTTCATAGCGCTGTTCTGAGGTTCAAAAGAGGGAAAATGTATGTAAAATACTCAACAAGGCCCTGGCATATTGTGCATGCTCGGGAAATCTCGGCTTCTACCAGAATAGGAACAGGTACAGTGGAAAAGTGGGAAGAACAGTGGCTTCTTTTCTAGCACTGTCTGTTCAGATCATTAAACTACTGTTCAGTTGGAGTGTTCATCCATTTCTTATTTGTATGATATTTTTCAAGTTAACTAGCCCTTCATCACTAATCTTTCCTATCTTGCTACTGTTTTGTTTACAGAATTTCCCTTCTTTTATAAAACAATTTTTTTTTTTTTTGATACAAGATCTCATTATGTAGTTCTGGCTAGATCTGAACTCACTATGTAGCCCAGGCTAGACCTGAACTCGCAGCAATCCTCCTGCCTCTCAGTCTCCCAAGTGCTGAATTACAGGTATACACCAGCATGCCTAGCTTTTTGTTGTTGTTCTTTACACTATAAATGTGTATCAACTGAAGAAAAAATAGAAAATACAGGATAGGGCCGGGGAGATAGTTCAGTGGCATAAGCGCCTGCCTGGCAAGTGCAAGGTCATGAGTTTGATCCCTGGTACAAAAAAAAAAAAAGAAGTATAAACAAAAAAGAAAGCTAAACATCACTTATAATTTCACATCTCAGAGTCTATTAATTATTCTTAAATGCCAAATCATCACTAAAAATGAGGCCATGCACATCCTTTGAAACCCGCCAGGATCACAGTAGCTGAACATGTGCCTGTCGTTCATCTCCTCTTGCACCCAAGCTCAGTATCTTGCCCATCGCTCAGTGCACACCCTTCCTCCGAGTCCAGCCTGATCCAAGCTGGAGAACCCTGCCCTTTGGGAGGAAGAGGAAGAGGAAGAGGAAGAGGAAGGGCGACCCAGGCAACCACACCAGCACGAAGGCTCCCGGGCAGCATTTTCCCCAGGCAGAGAGATCTGAATGGGACCAAAGGGGACTTCACGACCCATCCTGCAGGCCAGTTTCCCTGGAGCCTTTGAGAAGCAGTACCCTGTGACAGCTCCCCAGATGTCCTGGGATGTGCAGCATTATGACCTCCTATCCGTGCTGGACACAGGACTGTAAGACTCAGGCTTTCCCGGGCACCTGACCTCACCAGTCCCAAATGCAGAGGTCACCAATACCCCAAGTCATTCATATCTTGCAATCCTTGGCCTCATAGGGCATCTCTGACATCCCTACTAAGTAGCGGTCAAGCCATAGACCATGCAGGCTCCAGAGCAAGGGGAACTATTTCCTTAACACCCTGAGGCTTAAGTCTGGTGGCCCCAGGCTGGGAAAAGGAAGATGACAGCAACTCTGTTTACTTGAGATTGAAAGTGGCCAATCCAGTAACTCCAGCAAAATTAAGAAACTGAAGAATAAGGCTCAGAAAGAATAAACAAGGAAAGAGGGCAGGGTCAGAAGAAAAGAATCTCATTTTTTATATTTGAGCAATTAATTATTCAACTGAGTCCAAAGAAAAGCCTCCTCCTGGGCCAAGGGGTCTCTGCAGGAACAGATTAGCAGCCAACAAGTGCAGGACACAGGGGCCAGCGGGCAGCCGCAGGTTCCAAGAGCAAAGAAGAGAATGTTCCCGGACTTCCTGCTGTTTTGATTTTGCATCCCCTTCTGTCACCCCATGAAAGTGGCTTCCTCCAGCCCAGTGGTGCGAGTGGAACAAACCCGCATTTAGGATGGTTCGCTAAACTTAAAATGAAACATTTCCAACGGTGACAGCCATGAGCCAGGCCTGGGGGACATCTCCCCCGAGAGTTCTGGTTCTGGGCCTCTTCATGCAACCCACTGTCCTTCCTGTCACCCCTGCAGTCCTGGGCACAGTGTGGGTCTGCAGCTCAATGGGAGTGAATGCAGCTGTGTCGGCAGCTTCGGCTTCACACCAGCTGAGGTGGCAGCCACCAGGGCCCAGGAGAGGAATGGCTGCACCTTCTGCATGACAGAGCAGTGCCAGCCTCCTCGAGACTGTTCACAAGGAGCCCTCCTGCCCCAGCCAGGTCCAGAAAGCAATGACTGAGCCAAGGGCACTGAAACTAACCTATTCAGCGCATGCATGTCCCCAGGCAGGAGGGTCCACACCACACACTCAGTATCTAGGATACACAGGTATCATTTCAACCGCTCAAACAGGCAGTACCCTGGCTTCCCCACCCTGGTGAACCCCACCTGCCTCACCTTGAGCATGCAGGGCGCGGTGCAGCAGCGTCAGGAGCCCAGCCTGCCAGAAGGAGTAGCAGCCGTCCACCAGCTTGTTGCAGCGGCCCTGAAATCCACCTTCGAATCGCATCTGCCGGCTTGTTACCCAGTGCTGAGGACAGGATGGACAGAGAGGCAGCGTGAGCCAGAGACGCACAACCCGGAGGACAGGAGCCCAGGCCAGCAGGTAGAGGGAGGCGCCTGGCGTAGGGCTGCTTGGGCCTCGGGTTGAGACTCTGGCTTCCTTCTTCTCCTCCCGCCCCACTGCAGCTCTTTAAGCTGACACTTTTGAGACAACCAGCACCAATGTCTACCCAGGGCCTGACTTGCAATCTTCTCTTCCTCAGCTGCAAACTGGTGTGGACCTTACAGGACCAGGAAAGGCTCCTAGGAAACACAGCTGGCGTAGGGCCTGAAGCAGGTTCTGGCAGCTCTGTTCTTGTTATTTCTGCTCAGAGAAGTTTATTCAGAGCAGATAAATGAAATTTTGTGGTATATCTGATCTTACTAGTTCCAACTGTTCTATATTACAGGAAGACATTCATCCCAGGTTGCTTTCTTCTTTTTGAATCTTATTTTTGGTGGTAGAAGTGGTGACAGATTGATACCACAGTGTGTACTACAACTAAAATACTTCCTTAGTCCTCCTAATTTTTTTAATACTGAAACAGGTTCTTACTAAATTACTAAGGGGCAAAGGTTGACTTGAACTTGGAACTTTCCTGCCTCAGCCTCCCTCATTGTTAAGATAACAAATGTGTGTGGCCATACTCAGCTAGCTGTGGTCTCTTAGCAAGTCCCCAGCAGGACAGGAGGCAGAAGCCGTCTGTCCTGATTCTCAATCGATGACCACCCCATCTAGCCTCACTTCTCCAGAGGAACCTGGTTGGTAGACAGAAGAAAACCTTTGATTTGATGCTATAAACTGATATATGATGTCACCCTGTAGTCACACACGACACCATTCCTCCTTTATCTCCAAGTTTTCTGTACACTACACCCTTAAGATCAAGGCAGCCACAGCTGGCTCCTAGGAAGGAGCAGAACCAGCTTGCTGAGCACATAGCCCATTCCAGCCCCCGTACACAGACAGCAGGCAACCTGCCTAGTCTTCCTAGACTGAGCTCTAAAAGCAAGCAGGAGGTGCTCGAGAGAGGCCAGCAGCCAGCCCTCAACAGCATTACTGCCCTGCTCTTTGCAATACTCACCCATAGAGAGTCATAATCTCAAAATCTTTTTTTTTTTTTTTTTTTTTTTTTTGAGATAGGCTCTTGCTATGAAGTCCAGGCTGACCTTCAGCTAGTGGTCCTCCTGCTTCAGCCTCCCAAGTACTGGGATTAAATGCTTATGTCATGACACTTGACTCTAACAGTCCTAAATTCTTAAAAGATTAAAAATCAAAAAACAAAAATCCTCCCAAACACCACACTGAAGGTCACGTCAGCAACACATTTCTAGTTGGTGCTTAGGAACAATGCTATGAAGGGGAGGAGGTGTAGTGTCACTCCGGGGGACAGAAAGCAGGGGAAGGAAGCAGGTACCACAGAGGCAATTCTTTCTTCCTTTTCATCTGTTTTCAAGCCAGACCAGCTTTTGTTCAGTACCTGAGCCCATGCCTTGGCTATGTTCCCCTTGGTTCTTTGAGCTCAAGCCCAGAACCCAGATGGTCCTTCTGTGGCCAGAACTCCCCCATCAGAAGCCCACCGGCAGGACCCACGTCTGAGCAGTGAATGGCTCAGCAGGCACTTACCAGTAAACTCTTCAAGTTCAAGTAATATTCCTTCTTGAGGATCACCAGAGCAGCCAGGCCGCAGAATGTATAGCCGCCGTGTGCTTCCATCCCCGGCACCCCACCAATGCCGCCTTCCCAGTTCTGACACCTATGGAGTGGGGGAGAAGCAGACTGAGTGGGCCAGAGAACGGTGCACACAACACGTCCCTGCCCTCCACCTCTGGGGAAGACAACGAGCTGAGGCATAACCTGCCGCCACTATTAAGGAAGGGTGCTGACCTTAACTTTTGGAGATGCCTTTTCCTAAAAACCAAAATAAATGTAGAAACTTAAAAACAGCATATTTGAATAAGAAATATTATGGAAGACCAACCAGGCAACTCTCCTTGAAAGAACAGCCATTATCTCCATTTTGGATGAGCCTGACCCTATTTCCTCCTATTGATATGTACAGAGTTGGCTAAGACTTTTCCTTATCGCTTCAATTGGCCTTAAGCAATGCTATTAGTCTAGCCGAAATCTGGTGGTAGTCTTTGAAGATGGCAGGAGTGTTTCCCCAGAGCCCCCACCTGCTGCTCCCTAGAATGACAGCCAGGTCAAGACAGGATGAACAGCCTCCACACTGTTGGCTGGGATCAGCCTCCCTTGAGACAGAGGCTGTGACTTCCTGGGCTTGAAAGATCACACATCAGAGCTGAAGCACTGACCCCAAAACATTAGAGACCACCTCAGTTGTGTAATATGGATCGCTCTCTGCATATCCCTTCTGCATATGGCCAAGGTAAATGCAGGCCTCCTACAGCCCAGCTCACCTACTTCCCAGCATTCTCAGTCACTCCTTCTCAAGCCACTTTCTTCATGAATGAGTAAAACCCAGGTTCAGCCTTAAGTCCCGGCCTTTGGTCCGGACAGCCATCATCATTGCTGGTCTTAAGATCACCTTGGCACCCCAAAACTACATATTAGTGTCTGTATTCTTGCCATGGGTTGCTCTGGGCATGGTAGATTGGAATTAACTTGATGGGATTCCAATAATTTATCCATGGGATTATAAATATAAACTTCCTGGACTGAGACAAAGACCAGGAAGGGCTCTCTATATAGTATCTCATATTTTTAATCTTTGAAAAATGATAAAAAATCTTGTATGCAACATAACCACCAAGTTACAATAAAGTTGAAAAATAAATGTTGATTTTGGTTTTCTTTGGATACAAGGTGTACTGCATATAAAAAACATACATTTATTTCAAAAAGAAAATCATAGACTGAAAGTCAAAGAATGGAAAACAATACCCCATGCAACAGGAATCTGGAAAAAACCAGGAGTAGCTATTGTATTTGTAGACAAAATGGATTTCAAGCGGAGATGGATAGAGAGAGACAAAGAAGGTCACCTCATGCTTGTAAAGAAAACAATCCAAGGGGGCCTGGCCCTAGCTCAGTCCTTTAAGTGGCTGCTTCCACAAAGCTGTCAGCCTCAGGTTCCTGGAGTTCGAACCTCACAACTCTCCCGCTGGCCAAAAGTGCCCTGAAGGCATTCGAGGAAGAAAAAAAAAAAAAAAAAGAAAACAATCCAAGAGGAGGACGTAACAATCATAAATACATATGCACCAAATATTAGCATACCCAACTGTATAAAACAAATATTAACAGATATGAAAAATCAAATAAGCATATTACAATTGTAGTGAGGGACCTCAGTGCCCTACTGTCATGAATAGAGCACCTAGACAAAAAAAAAAAAAAAAATCAACAATGAAATATCAGAATTGAACCAAACTTTTTTTTTTTAATTTTTATTTATTTATTTATTTGTGTGTGTGTGTGTGTGTGTGTGTGTGTGTGTGTGTGTGGCCAGCTCAGCCCACCAGGGGGCGCGGCTGGCTGGCATGTGGTGCTGGGGGATTGAACCGTGGTCCCTTTGCTTTGCTAAGCTTGTTCAAATAGGTGCTTTAGACCACTGAGCCATCTCACCAGCCCTGAACCAAACTTTTGAACAAAATAACTTAGTAGATATCTATAGTATTTCACCCCTTAATATCAGATTGCACATTTTTCTCAGCTGCACATGAGGTCATCTCCAAAACAGACTACACGCTAGCCCATAGAACATGCTTAAGTAAATGCAAGGGAACTGAAATTATCCCATGTATATTATCAGATCATAGCACAATAAAATTGTAAATTTAATGGCAAAAGAAACCACAAGAACTTCATAAAAACATGGAAATTAAATAGCACCTCTTGAACACCCAATGGGTCACAGATGAAATTAAAGAAGAAATCAGAGTTTCTGCAATTAAACCATAATGCCAATAAACATTCCGGAACTTACGGAACACAATGAAAGCGGTCCTATGAGGGAAATTTAAAGTGATAAATTCTCGTATCGGAAAAACAAAGCAAGCTCAGAAGAACAACCTCAAGCTTCTAGAAAAAGAAGAGTAAAGTGAAACACAAAACTTGTGAGAGGGAAGAAATTATACAGAGCAGAACAGAAATTAATTCAATAGAAAGGGCTGGGGAGATAGCTCAGCAGAATAAACACTTGCCTGGCAAGCATAAGGGCCTGAGTTCAATATCCGGTTCCGCAAAAAATAAAAAATAAATAAATAAGCAAAAATGCAAATTTTGGGGGGCCTGCCCATTAGCTCAGTTGTTTAAGTGCCTGCTTAAGCAAAGGCAGTCAGGCTTAGGATACTGTGGTTCGATTCCCAGATCCTCATGCCTTACCAGACCTGCCCTTAAGGCATCCTAAGCCAGCCCCCCCCAAAAAAAAATTCTTCAGAAAATAATTTAGTAGAGACTAAGAAAACAATAAGAAGAACCAATGATTCGAAGAATTGGTTCTTAGAAAGATTAAATAAAATGGACAAGCCCTTATCCAACCTTATCAAAAGGGAAGATTCAAATCTATGTAATTTTATGTAATGTAAGGTCCTACAGAAATTCAAAAGATCCTCAATGCTTATTTTGCAAATCTGCATTCTAATAAGATAAAAAACAGAAGAAAAGGATGGATTTTTAGATACATATGAATTAACAAAGCTGAATCAAGAAGATAGAAAAATTCTAAATCAACCAATATTAGTCAATGAATTTGAAGATATAATTAAAAACCTACCAACAAAGAAAAGTTCAGTCCTTCACAGATTCACTACTGACTGAACTCTACAAGAAATTTAGAGACTTAATGCCGCTACTCAAACTCTTTAATGAAAGGGAAACAGCACTCCAAAAGTCAACCTGGAAGCAAGCATTACCTGATACTCAAGCCAGAGAAGGATCTAAGGAAAAATGTGAACTGCAAGCCAATCTCCCTAAAGAACACTGATAGAAAAATTCTCAGTAAAATACTGGCAAACAATGTAGAAAATCATCCAGATTATACACCATGACCAAGTAGGGACTCAGGGTTGGTTCAACAGATGGACATCAATAAATGTAATACACAATATTAACAGAGCCCAGGACAAAACCCCGATGATCGTCTCAGTAGATGCTGAGGGCCCACCAGATAGCTCAGCAGATTAAAGCACCTGTTTAGGCAGACTCAGGGACCAGGCTTTGAACCCTGGTCCCTGAGTCTGCCTAAGCATAAAGCACTTGTTCACCATCTGGAAGGCCCTGGGTTACAACCCCAGCATCATAAAAACCAAAACAACATGCAGAATCTCTGGCCTAGCAAGAAAGGATCATTTCTAGAAATTAGCCTTAAAATATAACTAAGAGGGGGCTGGCGAGATAGCTCAGCAGACTAAAGCACCTGCTTAGGCAAGGTTAGGCCAGCACAGGGACCGCAGTTCGACCTCTGCCACCACATGCTGGGCCAGCCCTGCCCTCAGAGTGGGCTAAGCTGGCAACAGTCCGCGCAGTGGTGCACACCTGTAATCCCAGAGCTAGGGAGGCTGGAAACAGGAGAATCACCATAAGTCTGAGCTGCAGAGTGAGACTCTGTAACAACCAAATACATAAAAAAAACCCAAAACTAAGAAAGTATCTGAAGATCAGACTATAAGCATGGTTGGTATCTTTCCATTTACAGCAGCAAAATGTTAGGCCAACTTAAAAGTTTGTAAGTAGGTCTCTGGTTGTACAAGTCACAAGATACCTACGCAACAGCATACTACCCAGTCACTTAAAATTCTGCCCCAGCAGTATATTTAGAGATGTTGCATTTATTATATGAGTGATGTCACAAAATGACTGTATGTGGCATGATCACATCTTTGGAATTTTGGAGGAATATACATCAAAAGAGTGTATCTTTAGATACTACAGGTTATTTAGATTTTTCCTTGTGACAGACATGTCATCTGTGAAATAAATTTTTTTTGGAGGTGCAGTGTAGGAGATTAAACCCAGGGCCTTGCACACGCTAGGCAAGAGCTCCACCAGTGCACATCTCCAGCCCTAAATTTCTCTCAAGTGATTTTCACGTGACACTACGGAGCCTTCCTTCCAAAGCGCTCAGCATTCACCCAAGTCTCTCCCTGCAGGCGCGTCAGTCTCATAACACACAAGTGCGCAGCTTCCAGCCAGAAGCTGGGGCAAGCTCCACGAAGGAGAAAGGAAGCAGAAGCACCGCTCTGCCCTCCAGACTGCTCTCAAGCACACGCACGTACGCACGCATGCGTGCACACAGACACATGCGCACATGCGCGCGCGCAATATACATATACACATTCCACTTTCCCTTTGCTTTTACATAGATGGGGTATGTAACACGCTTGTGCATACCGCTTTTTTCATTTAGTAAAATTCTTTGGGATCTTCTTCTAGCTAGACAGAATTTGACTGGACATAAGAGCCCAGTAAAATGGAAGTAAAGAATTTGAAGTGAAAACAGGCCTGAGGAGATAGCTTGGTGGTCTAAGCACCTGCCTGGCGAGTGCAGGGACCCGGGTTCGATTTCCAGTACCACATGCCATTCCGAGTGCACTGTGCAAGCCACTGAAACCAGGCGTGGTCGCACACACCGGCAATCCCAGCGCTGAGGAGGCTGAGACAGGAGGATGACCACAAGCGCCAACTGAGTGGCGAGACCCTGTACCAAATAAATAAATAAATAAGTGATTTAAAAAGAAAAAGAAAAAGTGAAAACAGACAGGAAATAACAAAATCATGAGAGCTGGCATGTGGGGGGTGTTAAGAGAAAATCACTGAATAGAACAGAGAAACCTTCCCCAGCCCAGGGGGGCAGCATAGCTAAGTGGTTTTTATCACAGACAAGTTGTTCCTGTCTCTGTCCCACCCCCTTACCCCGTTTCCCTTCCCTTTCTCTCTCCCCTTCTCCCCTGTCTCTCAATCCCAGGGTCTTGCTATGTAGTGTAAACTGGCCTCAAACTCAACTCAATCCTCCTGCTTCAGCCTCCCCAGTGCTAGGATTACAGGAGTGCACCACCATCCCAGCTCCTCTTGATTTTTTTTATATTTCAGCTTCATATAAAATTCAATATTCAATCATCTGACATATAAGGGAACCACAACATGATGAAGTTAGATAACCTCTAAGTCACAAAGCCAGTAACTAATGACAAAATTGGGATTGCAGAGCCAGGGAGAGAGCTCAGTGGCACAAACACCTGCCTGGTAAGCACAAGGTTCTGAGTTCGAGTCCAGATACCAGAGAACCAAAACAATGACAACAACAAAAATACTGGGATTCACCCCTTGTGGCCAGGTTTCCACATACACAAGGTGCCTGACGAATCAATTTGCTGCAAACCAAGCTGCACGCTCTGGATGTATGCAACAGAAAGTGGCTTCCAAAGGGCCCCTTGCAGTGATGCGTCCTGGGGGGATTTGAACTCAGAGCAGACAACAGCAGAGAGCCAGACCCTCTCTCCTGACTCCACCTCCCCACGCTCTGCTTCTCCCTGGGGAGATCACAGCATCCCTGGAGGGTGGCCACTGTGGGCTGGATCACTGATCAGGGCTGGGCAGCCGGAACTCTGGTAGAAAGCCAACCACCTGTCTGTCAGCACAAAAGTGGCTGCCAGAAAGCAAGCAAGAATCCAGGAAGCGAAAGAAAGGCCCAAATGCTACCTGTAAGCTCAGTCCAAGTTTCTGCCTGACTCCTGAAATCGGTGCATGAGGACTCCACCCCAAACTGGCAGCCACGGTGACAGGGGGTATCCTCTCAGGCACAAGCTATACTCTGGGGGGATCCGGATTCTGCGACAGCCCGACCGCTCAGCAGATGTGCAGGACAGGAAGCACGAGGAGCCCACAGCAAGGTAACTGGACGAGGGTTTTTTTTTTTTTTTTTAATGTGTGTGTGTGTGTGTGTGTGTGTGTGTCCAGCTCAGCCTACCAGGGGGCGGGGCTGGCTGGCATGTGGTGCTGGGGGATTGATTGCTGCGGTCCCTGTGCTTTTTTGCTAAGCTTGTTCTAAGTAGGTGCTCTAGACCACTGAGCCATCTCACCAGCCCCTGGACGAGGGTTTTAAAGCACAAGCAATTATATGTTTGCCACAGCAAGGCACATTATGCTTGCAATGAACAAAAAGATGGGCACTCTCAGGGCTGGGGAGATAGCTCAGCGGCACAAGTGCCTGCCCGGCAAATGCAAGGTCCTGAGTTTGATCCTCAGTACCAAAACAAAAAAGGGAAATCTCAGCTGAGAAACAGAAAATATACTGAAAAACAAAAACCAAAGAGGTCTAAACTCAGTCTCCACACTGCCACCGCCTGACTGCGGGGAGCTCAGGAAAGCCTGATTATTAGGTTTCTCTGCCTTATTCATGACCACACTGGAAGCCAGAAGGTAATGAACAACGCCGACACAAGTCAGAAGGAATAAATAGTTCACGCCACTTCCAACTTGGAAATCTCTAACTAAATAAAGTACCCTGCAGGTTCCACGAGCAGAACAAAGACACGCCTTCCACAAGGAAGCAAGTAAAGGCAGCCAAGCCAACCACACACACCCCAAGCGAAGGAAGGACGGGGCTTCCACAAAGCAGGAGAGGAAGCGAACTGTGGGATAACAAAGCTTCTGGATGCCCACCGAGGGGCAAGCTGACAGCAATCTGGCCCGGCCATCGCAGCAGGCCGAGGGCTGCGGGAGGACGGACCAGGGACGCACACGCAAATAGACGCAGAAGCAGCAGGACGCCGCAGGTGTCTGTGTGGAGAGTAACTGACAGTGCTGGCAGGCAGAGAACTGGGAATGAGCTCATGACACCACATTCAGGGAATGGATATTAACTCCAGGAAAATGAAAGTTACACAAAAAATAAATGTCATCATAGATCATTTGGTTTCCATGTAAGTTATACAAGCTATAGTTACACAGAACTATTTTGGTAAAATAAAAATTTTAAAAATAGTACAGATGTACCTATATGCCTTTTTTTGGTTTGTTTTCTCCTTCCTTCTTTCCCTCTCTCCCCTTCTCTCCCCTCCCCTTCTCTTCCTTTCTTTTCCTTCTTTTAGTGCTAGGGATCAAATCCAGCATCTCACGCATACTAACCAAGCACACTACCACTGAGCCACACCACCTGCCCTGTTCATTCATTTGTGCCTTCCTTCCTTTTCTCCCTTTGTCTCTCCTTCCTTCCTTTTTTCTTATTGTGCCCATCTCTTTTTCCTTCCTAGCTTCTTCTCTTTCTTTTCTTCCTTTTTTCTCCCTTCTTCCCTTCCTCCCTCATTCTCTCCACTATCTCCATTCCTTCCTTCCTTTCTTTTTTTGAGAGAGGGGCAGGCTTGAGACAGGGCCTCACTATAGCCCAGGCTGATCTCAAACTCATGATCTTCCTGCCTCTGTATTCTAAGCACTGAATTACAGCTATGCACCACACATCCAGCCCTGCTTTGTTTTCCAAATTATTAAATATTTGAAGCATCCAGGAAAGTTATCAACTACTGTGGAGAACATACATGGACCCAACACCTAGCTTAGATACGGCTGCTGGGTGTGGACAGCCCCCTCTCATCTCCTTTGCTATCTCCCAGGAGTCGCCCCCATCCTGACTTTGGTGTTTCTCTTTCCCATAAATGTTTTTCTATTCTTCAGGTAAACAATATGGAATTGTTCTGCATGTTTTCAAATTTTAAGTAAATGTGCTGGTGCTGATTTTTTTTAACATTTAGTCCCCAAAAATACCATTTCGGAGGTTTATCCATATTGATACATGTAGCTCTAGTTCATTTGCTTCAAAACTACACTGTATTCCAGTGGAACTCTCCCATAACTTACCCACCACAAGCTTATGGACACTGAACCTAGTGCCACCTCTTTGCTCACAAATGAGTCTGTCTCTTGTCTTTTTCATGCATGGGCAGGAGTTTCTGCAGCAGTGGAACGCCTGGGTCATAAGCAAGGGCACATGGAGCCAATGCTAGCTTGCTTTCCAAACTGCTGAAATCAGGTTAGACTCCCACTGACACAGGGTTCTTTACTAAATAGTTTGGCCATTACCAATATAAGCTGCAAAACAGTATTAATGAAAGTCTGTATTTTCAAAATGTACAGTTATGCAACCCTAACGTATCTCTTATAACCTTCTATCTCTAGCTAGTCCTTTTAAAATTTTTCTTTTTAGTTTTGTGAAGAAACGTCTTGCTCAGCTGCTCGCTAGCTGGCCAGGGAAGCCTGGCCTTTCTCACCTGGCTATCCATTCAGCAGTCCCCTCGAAGAGGTCTGGAGTGATGATGTTCGTGAGAGAGGCCACCGAGGCAGCACAGTACGCGCTTCTGGAAAGACAGAAACAGACAGGAATCATGTCAGGTGGCGAAGAGCAGCCTAAGTAGGGCTCAGGGAGCTTCTGGGTAGGTTGCGCGCTGTGCCTGGTAAGCTGGAATTACTTCCTGTCCTCACCCCGGCACTTGGGCAGTTCTGGCACTTGCGCAGTCCTCCGGGTTTCCAACTGAGAGGTGTGACATTCTATTTGGACAGAGTGGCTCACAGCATGGCGTCTATGAAAGGGCATGACACTCCATTGTCCCTTCCTCCATAGCGCCACATCCAAATCAGAGGCAACAGCCATATCAAAAGTGGCTTTAGCTCCTTTCAAAGACCTACAACGCCTCCCACCACTCTGCAGTGTTCTGGAAGGAGGCGACACTGGGCTCACTTATTCAGACATCAGCAGTGCTGTAGACCCAGGACTGCTGGGTGCACACAGTTTCTGCAGCAGACATGATCCAGAGCAGGCCACGAAATTCTAAATGCTGCTCAGACCTAACAGGAGGGAAGTAATGGGTGAGCCCCTTCGTAACCTCTCGAGGGAGGAAAGCACCCTGACTGGACTGCGAGCACCTCAGAGGTACAGACGCAGACACGCCTTTTGACGAGGAAGGACACTGTGCTCTTTTCGCTGTTAAGAGATCGAATCCATACTAAATCTATCTCTGCTACTAAGCTGCGTCCCTAATTCCTGTTCTTGATTTTTAGCATTATCCTATTTGATGTGGAATGATTCTCGATGCTGGTCCCTCTGTTGTGGCACATGTCTACATGTGGCCTTTGCTTCCCCTCGACAGTCTTTTCAAATATCCAGCATGAGAGAGACAAAACTATCTGTTCTGCTTCTGCTCACAAATCCTTTTGCTCAGAGCTCCTAAGGAACATTAAGGAGAGGGAAACGGACAGGTCAAGTTTCCATCTTATGCCAGAGACGTAATGGGAAGCCCAACCTACGGGCCCATTCCAGAGGAATCTCTGCAGGCGCTGCCAGCATTACTCCTATCCTACCCGTACGTTTACCAGCCAGGCTCCTGCTGACCAAAGGCTCGGCACAGGTGGCGGGGCAGGTGAGTCACAGTGGCACGGCCCAAGGCTGCCATCTACCACAAGCTAGTGTCCGAAGCCGATCTAGTTTCCTTAGGCTCTGCTCCTCTCTGCGAGGCTCAGGAGTATTTGCCCTAAATGCTAATGCAGCCTAGGAGGCAGGGAGGTAAGCCAGGGAAAGAGCTCGCCTCTCAGCAATGTGACAGCTGAGGAGAGGAATCCTGGATCTCACATGGAACTCTGTGTGTGTGCGTGTGTGTGTGATAATACACAACTTCTCCAGCCGTCCTCCCTCTCTCCCAGTATCCACTCAGCGCAGCTCTCATGTCTGTCTGCTCTTGTCTCTCCTGGTTGCAGTCACCCAACTCTGTTGCTGTCTCCCACCTGATCAATCTCCTGTCTGGTCTTTTTCCTTCCAGCCCTAAAAACAGAGGACTTTTACTAAAAGACTGCTCTTCACTCACAACAACAATCTCCAGATTGACAACTGGACAACATCTAACACAGTACAAACCAGGTCACATAACTGCCCACTGAAAGCCTGTCAGAATAAACTCTAGACCTGTGAGCGTCCCGGGGTCCTCAGTCTGCCCCGCCCCC